GACTTAGTCATAGATTGTATTTGCTGAAAAGGTCATTGCATCGACCATAGAACTTATGAAATTATGACTTCAAATCAGACTGTTGAAAATTTTGTTTCGTCAACTTGTTTGTCAATAATTTAACTCGTTTTAAAAATTGCTCATTCGTAGACTATGCTCATGCGTATCGAATCAACTGAGATACATAAATTCCGTATGCAGGTGACAAAGGTAGAATTTTTAAAGCAATATGAGCTGCAACTAAAATGTCGGAATATTTTGTTGCAAAATTGTAAATAACTTTTAAACATAGGAAAAATTACGTTAATAAAGTTCTATTATTTACATTTTCGATAGCAGAACTATTTGCAAGCTTCAATTGAACCAAAATTACATCATCATTGGCCTATACCATGAAGATTTCTAATATACAACTGTTTATTTGATTGTAAATAGAAGTCTTTTTCTGCTTTATTTTAGTTTATTTGATCATAAAGGGTTAAACTACATACACATTTATCAGAATAACACATTTTAACAGTAAACTATTTTTTTTTAAAATGCAGCTCAAATCGATTTCAAGAATTTTACAAATGAAAATTAAAAGAACACAATAGATTTTTACATTACATTTTTTTAGCTCTATTGTCAATTTCACATAACGTTACTTAATATTTTTCCTAAGTGCTTTTTTTCATAATATTCTCGAAATATAATGTAAATATTGAAAAAAAATTATTGTTATTAAATTTGTAATACATTTATGACTATATTAAAATTTTTATTTAAATTAACGGACTATTATTCATTGCCCGATCGTGATACAAAACAAAAGTAATTGAGATTATTTCCCTTCCAAGGGGTCTTAATTTATGTATTTAAAGATCCATGTTTGCGATAAATAATGTTTTGATAGACCTAAGTTTAATAACGGTTCCTTATCGCTAGAAGTCTTGTTATACGACAATGCAGATTTTTAAACCTGTTATATGTATGTCCTTTAAAACGATTGACTTGAAATTCGATATGTTCCTCTTTCATTTACAACCATCATGTAAAGTACGTCCGTGTGACCTAGAGGCTCGCAATAAAGAAATACCGAATTCAGGTAATAGGGAAAATATTATAGCATATTTACGATTTGACTTAGACAATTAATGAATTTCACTAATTAAACATTACAAAATTAAATTCACATTGATTAATAATAATTGTATAAGTCGCATACCCCCCCTCTCAACCTGCTTACCCAGGGATGGTTTACAATGCAAAAAAATATCTTTTGAATATAAGTATAATGGCAAACGTTGATTCACTTGCAGCATACTTACTTTCTGTAACAAAATTTTCCAGTTTGTAAGAATCAATCAATCACTTTTATTTTCATTGCCTCCATTTTACTGACAAGTGCGTTTTAATTTTTTTAAAGTGTAAAATAAGATAATTTTTAGGGACAATGGGTATTGGGTGTGTATAATTATTGTTTAAAATATGTACAACGTTGTTAATACAAATATACACTCAAACATTAAGAGTATTATAGGAAAATGTGGCAATATATTACTTCCGGAAAAAGGAAATTAGGGGGTCCGTTTGGTGTAGAGCTCATACCACGAAAAAAATGCGTCAATATATAATTTTTTAAGCTTATTCTTTTTCTTAAATATTACATGTATTTAGTAAAAATAATGCAAATTTACAAAGTTTGAGTCCATATTTTTTTTAATGACTGCGATTGACCTGTGAAGCATATTTTTTCATATTAAATTTTTTTGATACGTTAGCCTTACAAAGTGCATCTATTTATAATAATTCATGCAAAACAATGATTATATATTGTTTAATAACATTTTTCTACTTAATTTTGGGTATTAAAGCTGAATATTTAGATTTAAATTCATTTATATACAACAAAAATTAGGAAGGTAAACTTTCAATATTTTACATTTCGGGGTATATACTCCCATAGGCAATAGCGGAAAAGTAAACATGTTGACATATATTTTTTCTTGGGTCTATCCATTGCTGGGATGTATGTCTATCTTATAAAAGCAGATTTTTTAAGATTGAGCCCATTTAGTGTAGAACTACCTTAATTGGGACCTGCTTGACTACAGACTCCGAAATACTTATTCTTAAAATGAAGGTCAAAATCTTAAAATAAAGATTTTAAAAATATCAAGTAGACCTTTGCACTAAAAATAAGATTTTTGACTTTATAAAGTGTTTCACTGCTTTTCAATAGAAAACAGTAGAAAGCAGTAGGATGGCGTCACAATGCGGGAGTTTTCATGACAACAAATGACAAAAAATATTTTAAGAACAGAAAATCTATGTTTGGTCATATTAACATGTAAGCGTTCTCATGTAGTGCAGACACCAATTTGTTCAAAGCATGACCTATGGGGGTAAGGTATTGCCACAATGGTGGGTGTAAGATATGTGGCCTGCTGTAAGATATGTGGAGATATTCTAGGTCAAAACTTTATAAAAGAATACAAAATAGGAGCAAAGCAAACACGAGCCTCCAAAACATCAGAAGTTGGATCAGGTGCCATAGAGAAGAGAGCGTTCCCGGCGACCGGTCAAATTTGCCCTGTGCTCCTTGTCCAGATCAGGAAATAATGGTAAAATCCAGCATTAATTCAGTGTACAGATATTGGACTAACAATAAGTATGAAAAACGTCAGCATTTGACTCAATGATAGATTTTATTTGCTGACAAAGTCATTGTATCGACCACAAAACTTATGAAATGATTACTTCAAATGAGACTGTTAAAATGCTTTTTCAAATTGCTTGTCAACAAATGTTCTCGTTTTAGAAATAGCTTATTCATAGACCATGCTCTTACATATCGAATCAACTGTGATGCATTAACTCTGATGAAGGTAATGAAGGTAGAATCTTTAAAGCAATATAAGTAGCTATGAAGGATATGGATATGCAACATAGATGTCGAGATATTTTGTTGCAAAATTGTAAATAACTATTCAAACACGGAAAAAATACGTTAATAAACTTCTATTATTATATACCTGATAAATAGTCTCTAATAAAATACTACAAAAAATCTAGAGAATATCAGCGTTGAATATCTTGACGTTTATTGAACGTTTAGTTTGTGTTACGTATACGAGTATGCCTGAAATATTCCAAATACCAGCGTTCAATATCAAACGTCCCGTTGTAACCAAAAAGTCGTCTGGTCAATACTAAAGAAATGAAGTAGCATCTAGGTAAGATGTGTTTATTTAATTTTTACACAAATGAAAATTATTTTATTAAAAATTTAGTACGTAGTACACCCATTAAACCTAAATAAGCAAATTATATCGCTCGGTAGGGTCATCGGAATGATGCAATATTTAACGCTAATAGGGCAGACGTTACTTTGAATACGAAAACTAGAAAATCATTAATTTGACTTTTTTTTATTTGGAATAGTTAATATAAAGAAGAAAGGGCTCTAAGGGCAAAAATCCGCCTCAAGTTAGAAATAAATGAAACCTTCTCAAATAATACCTTAGGGTTTGTAAATGATTAAACAATTTATATTTTAGCATTATCTTTTCTAGTTTTCTTCCTTCTGTCGTTTAAAAATGGCATTGTTTTCTGAATAAATGACATGACGTCGACGTTATTATACCCATAACGTCAATCATGGGTTGACGTTACCATAAATCTGGAGGTCGCACATTTAGCATTGATTTTAATTGGGTTTTCTTTAAAATTTATTTTAAAGTTTTTTTTTTCCTTTTGATTTTTACTTTACTATAGCAATTAGACACGTAAAATTTAATTTAATTTATACGATGTAAATACATGTACAGGACTCTACTTTTAAAAATTGGAAAACATTACTATGAGTTTCAAGACGTTCTGAAAGTGCATAATACTCGCTTTGTTTTTCTTAAAATGAGAAAGGTTTTTCAATTAACAGCTTATTTACTTCAAAATAGATATTATTATTTGTACAAAATTATTCTTCATCATTGTCATCTTCACTCTCGCTTTCATCTACGGTCAGTGGCTCTGGAATATCCTATGCATCAAGTAGGTATTTGCTCCAATCTCGAACACTCTCAAAAGTGCTCTCACTGTAACGTCCGATCCCAAGATACCATATAAGGGAAGTAACATGACAACAGGTCCCAACAACACGGGTTCCTACTTTACATTGACAGTACCAGCTAACAACTTGGACTTCACTATACTGAACCCACACTTTGTAGCCTTTCGACGACACATGCCTTGACTGTATTTTGGCGCAAAGTAGGTCTGGCTCGTGGTTGCATACCAGAACATCAAAACTGCCGTCACTATCCAAGTGCTCTCTTGTGTAGCAGGGTGCAAGCTTTAACTGGTACACACCAACTGTCAGATTTCGAATATCCTCTTCACTTAATTTTGGAAAGTCAGGCACAGAAAAGGCAGTGATTTTTTCCCATTTGCACGATCGTTTGTCTAGACCCTCAGACTTGATTCTGTCATGAAGGACATTTTGCTGTTTGGAGAGATATAGCATTTTACAGCCCAGTTGATCTTCCTTTTCAGAGTCCTTTGTGTTAATTTCTGGCCAGTACTTATTCATCAAGGCACAAGCGATTTTTACGTAATCAGCAATATATGGTATTTGACTGTTTGGAAGAACCCGGTCAAGATATTTCCATTGTTTTATGCGGCCATTCACAGACTCGACGATCCATCGAATTTTCGTGACGAGTCTTGTGGTGTTGCTCTCTTCCAATGGCAATTGAGATTCACCTTTCTGGATAAATGACGGCATTTCCGTTCTTACACCAAGTTCATCAAACAATTCAACAGAGTCTCTAAAACCTCGATCAACGATAAGGACATCTTCACAAATCCACTGTTTAAAGTCTTCAATATCGTTTCCAATTATGTGCTTCATAATTTAAGCATCACTATTTTTGCCATCACTGAAGTAGGGGCCAATCACACTAAGGATATATCCTGTCGTAGAAACAAAAACCATTGGTTTTACCAGCGGTCGGTGTTTATGTAAACTGTAGCACTTGCGTTGGAATCTGAACTGTAAACTCTTCTGTATGTATATGTAAGTTCCGTCGGCTACTAATATGGCTGGAAACTTGCCTTCTCCAAATAATGATTGTGCTATTGGTCTCGTATGCGATGATATTATTTCTTCTCTGCTTATATGCCCAAAACCCAGATGTGATGGCACAAAATGTTGTGAAAGATACTTCCGCGCTGATGCAATGGCACGTCGGATTGAGTCTCTGCCTAAATTGAATAATTTTATTTGGCATGCCTGTCTTTAGTTTAGTGAGAAATATGCCAATGCATGTTCGAACACTGCGTGTACTCGAATCTCTCAGACTTCCTCCAACTTCTGAACAAAGTTCATCGAAGTTCTTTTTTGTTATTCCAGTCAAAGTTAAGACGTCTGAATCCGATAAAGACTTTACATTGTCAAAATCGATGCGTTTTTCACTTCCCCTTACAGCAATTTCTCGAATCTCTGTTATAAGTTCCATTAGATCTGAGCGGTTAAAATCAGATGTGGTTCGAGACTGGGAAATCTGTTCTGCTGCATGAGCGTGGAAAAGATTTTCGGAAAGATGACCTGGGCAACATCTAGCTCCAATGGGCAATACAATAAGTGTTTCCAAAAACAGATTATATCTAGCATTTTTAGGTACGACGACTAGCTTTGGACCACGGCGCTTGCAGACAGCACACTGGGAATGACTCCCTCCCACTGAAGGTATTGGAAGTGTGATGCTTGGAGGTGACTTTGGTATTTTCTTAGCTTTCTTGGTGGATGGTATGTACTCTGTGCCAAGATCTGTGTCCGGAATACGGTTCTGTTTAGCAAAGTCCTTTTGTGAATCCCCAGCAGCTGCATGGATTTCTCGGGAACAGCGGAGTCGACATTTATTACAGATGACACTCGCAGTAGCAAATATCTTGGAGGATTCTATTAGGAAACGTCGTTGGAGGAATTTCCGAAGTCCTTTATTTTTGGATCCAGTTAGTGGTCGTCTATCTCGGGCCTTTGGTCTAGACGAACATAGAACACATGAGTAGAACCTTGGTGAGGACATTCTGAAATATAAAGATTAAATAATTATTTATTATTGTTTTTAGTTTTCTTAATATTGTTCATATTAATTTGTTAAACTTTTATTAAATGACTAAAAAATAAAATTCCTTTTCCCTTATACAACATAAATATAATTATCTATAATGATTTAAATTGCAACTTTTATTAGATAAATAATTCAAAGTAAATGTTATACTTCCTAAAATATGAATATTGAAACATAAAATGTGAAAATTTAAAACATTTAAAAAAAAATGTATTAAAAAAAAACTGTCGTTCAGCGGGTTCGAACTCAGACCTAAACCCCTGGGTGTCAGCGTCCGATCGAGTAATTGATGACAACCACCGACGCTTACAGAGTTATAATGTAAAACTTGAACAATAAAAAAAATTATTCCCTCGTCTTTTTGTGTAGCATACGACACACTTATTTTGTCCGAAAAGTGTTTACATTTATTTTAACTGCATTCCATTCTGTCTTAAAATATCACCTATCATATTTTCTCATGAAGTTTGATATCTAAGTTGTTTGAATCAAAATGTAAGTTAGGCCTGTACATATATAGGCTACGCAAACTTTACCGGTTATTTTGGAATTCAAGAATTCTATCCCAGAAAATGTAAGATTGTAGATTGTAATCATATATATATATATATTGTTAACTAAGTATACAATTTTTTCTAACACGAGCATTAATATTATTGCATTTCTTCCCGATTTTACAGAATGTAAACAAATATGCCGGTGTAAAGACGAATAATGACCCCCATCGAATAATGACCGGGGGTCATTTTTCGACAGCGAAAAATGACCCCCGGTCATTATTCGACGTAGAAAAATGACCCTTTTGCCCGTAGAAAAAGTGTCACTTCCCTAAAAATTTGCAGAACCCACGTGAAGAAAAATGACCCCTGTAGAAAAATGACCCCCTGTAGATTAAAGCTAAAATTTTTAGGGGGCAAAAAAAAATTAGATAAAGAAGCATATATTGGCTAAAATGCTCACCTGAGCTTATTGGGAATAAACTGATGATATGTTGATCTCATAACATTATACAATTATAGCCATATTTTAAGGTAAATGCAATGATTCAGAATTTAAAGGAGTAAAAGATTTATCAAGCCTTAAGGGTTAGGTAAACATTGTTTTTTGATGGTGGAAATCATCGAACTGACAGAAAAAATGAGCAGTATTATATATTTATATATCCTCCGCTTCAAAAGCGGAAGGCTAGATAGTGATCGGGATGTCCGTCCGTCCGTCTGTTACGCTTTGAGGTATCCATCTCTTATCCGCAAATCCTCATATATAAAAAGATGTGTTTGTGAAACAGCTATGCCCCTCTATGGCAACATAGCGAAGATTAAACTTTTCTTAAATGCAATTTAAATATATTGTTACCCAAAGTAGGGTCTTCTCACATGAAATACAACTGGAAAATAGGAAAGCCCTAGCACCACTTGTTCAAAAGTAATGGCTAAGGATAAATTTTTGAAAGGTAGGTCAAACTCAAAGGTCAAAGTTGATGATTTCTAAAGAAAATGTTTAATGAAACAAGGATTACATATGTGAAGTATGAATACCCTAGCCCTTACCGTTCAAAAGTTATGGCCAAGGTAAAAAAAAAATCATCAGTACCGAAAACTCCAAGATCAAAAGGTCAAGGTTTTTAGTATCCAATGAAAGGTAATGCCAAAAAACTACATATTTGAAGTATGAGAGTACTAGTATCTACTATCTACCGTTTAAAAGTTATGGCCAAAGTAAAAATTTGACATTTTTTGTGTAAAATGGGACAAACTCCAAGGTAAAGGTCAAAAGGTCAAATTTAGTGGTACCCAAAGTAAGGTCTTGTCACAAGGAATATACCTATTAAATATGAACGTCATAGCTCCAATAAATGAGAGGTTATGGTCAAGGTTAAGGTTTTTGAGGACAAACAAACCGCCAGATAGACAGACGGACATACAGACGAACATGATAAAACTATATACCCCCGAATCTTCGATTACGGGGACATAAAAAAGAAATTGTCTTCAATTAACTTTTCATATTAATATACATTATAAAGAAGACGTTACAACAATGAAAATGTTTGTTCTGATTTTCATATTAAATTCTCTGAAAAATATACTCAGAACTGAGCAAAAGGGTGGAGTAAAACAAGAATTAAGGTAGAACCTATGTCGGAAAAGTCTTTGTCACAAGATTTTCAAACTTTTTTAAAAATGATAAATTAGTACTTGCTTATCAATCAGTTAAGATATCAAGATATGTTTCCTTGTTTTTTTTTAACGAGGCTAGGGGGTGGCAGCCATTTTTAGACTATTTCAATCTCCTTTAAAAGGAGAGCTCCATATAAAGATATACAAAATGATAAAATTTTAAAACTAAAATATATGAATTTTTTCTTTGCCAAATGATAGTTGACAGCTAAATATACCATATCTAAAAAAATAAGTTAAATCTGGTGGTTAATTTAAGATTAAATTTTTGACCCGCCAGTCTCCTTAATCTAGAACAGGCTGTGAAACTTGGTATGGTATTTACATACTGCGACTTCACATTTTCAATTTTTTTAGGGGTACTTGTCATAAAGGGAATATGAAAAATCACAAAACTACTTCTTCAAACATCGTCGTTTTTAAACTTTTTTTAACTGAATAATATTAAACAATATTTTATCAAGAACAATTTCTTGTTTAGTCAATTAACATAAAAGATAAGTCCACCATTAAAAAAAAAATAGTCAAATGAACTCTATTATTTTTAGTCAATTATGCACCCTATATTTGTAAAATTAATATTTTTTAGAAGTCTTTGTCACAATGTTTTCAATCTTCAATATGATGAAGAACATAGCCAAATGATTACAAAAAATGATTAAAATATATACTTTTCCCCTCTACCTAATGAAAGATAGGCTATTTACCGATACTCATTTTCTTCACCTTTTTGCACTTACACGGGATTTATTAATCAAATGAATGTTTGGGGTTACTTTCAGATAAAATATTTATCAGAAATTGTACTTTTACTTTAAAAAGATCATATTTAATAGAAAAATTGTAATCAAACACCAAAAATATGAATAGATAACAAATGATTGTTAAAAGGAATGCACATCATTTCATTATATTTGCATATGGGGGGGGGGGGGGTTAAAAATTTCCTCCTTTTTCATTGTCAAATAGGATTCGCTAAACTTAAACAAACTAAAAGTTGAAATGACGGAAAATTTAATTTTTCGTATTAAATAGTATTTAAACCTGATTTTTGCATGGTTTGATTTCTAAAAACAAGTGGAATATCATTCTTTAAGCAAACTCTATAAGGAGGAATATTAAAAAGAAATTTTATTTACTTTACAATTAAAGAGTCTCTTTTCAAACACAATTTTAGCATTGAAAGACTACGTGAATCTCTTAATTATTTCATACGATTTTTTTAATTTTTCTGGTTACAGAAAATGTAAAAATTAGTTTCGCTGTAAAAAAGATATCAAAGAGTGTATATTTTGTATCACTTTATAGGGGGTCATTTTTCAATGGGGGTCATTATTTCATAGGACTAACATATAAAATAATGACCCCCTAGGACCATTTTTCTACAAAAAATGATTTTTTTTCTACGGGTGGGGGTCATTTTTTGTCGTTGAAAAATGACCCTCCGGTCATTATTCGATGGGGGTCATTATTCGTCTTTACGCCGGCAGCTTGTGACAGACGAGGTTGTTGACATTAGCCTAACGTTACTGTTTTACTGATTTCTCAAAATATTTTTTCAGAAAACATTATGAAGACAAACCTGATCCCCTTTTGGTTTCTGTTGTCCAGATATTTTCTCAGGTCATGTTGAGGCAATTTCTTGGATCTTCTTTGGTCAACATGTTACTAATGACGCACTTGCGTAAAATGTCTGTCATATACAGTACGTTTCTAAATTTCGTCCGATTTATATATTCATAAATATTCACAAAATTATAGTTTATCGTTATAGTTATCATACGCTGTTCATGCTGTAAATTTAACACGATTACAATTCATCTCCGATGCGTTTTTTTTCCATGCACATTCATGTATACGTATCACTTTTGTATGTCCCCTACTTTTATACGGAAGAAAGAGAGGTCGGAATATCCTATGAATACAAGAATAAAAACAATATTTTCACTGTTGAAGTGATTTTTGATCTTATGTTATCTGTTTTTATTAGTCATTTATTTTTTAAAAGTTATGAAAAGTCTTAAATCTTCTCTCCTTTCTTAATGTCTGAACAATTCTTATCCGGAAACTAAAATTTACTGAATTTCATAGATTTATTATTTTTAAAAAGTTACACCCCTCCACAAGCATGTGCCAAAAGAATATTTTGCTATAAAACAATTGAAGTTTTGAAGAAGAATATATGCAAAGGAGAATTTGGCACATGGCTGTGGAGGTTACGAATTTCTTAAAAATGTTCAAGGAAAAATGACCTTTAAAGCCATTTTCAGCAAACGAGACGTTTCCATGACAATAAAGTGACGTCATAAAAACTTGCAAATTCTATAATCTAGCACATTTTCTTGAAGTACTAACACAGATGATTTTTTAAAGATATTTCATTAAATGTAGTTTAACTTTTAATTTTATAGGAAACATTGAGGCTAATCTAGGCCCTTAATGCCCTTAATTCTTATGTGGAAATGTTTTAGCTGTATAATAAAGGAGTTATTGAACTTATATCGGTGATTAGGCATTCGTTCGCTGTTCAAATGCACTCTCAAGCTTGTGCATTTGAACAGTCCACCCGTGCCAATATTCAACAATAAAAGTTCAATAACCCTATATTATTCTAAATAACATTATCATTGTCCTATACAATGAAGATTTCTTAAATAGATCTGTTTATTGGATTGTATATGATATTCTTTATTCAGCATTAATTTAGGTAAATTGTTCTTAAAGGATTAAATTACATAAAAAATTATCATAGTGACGCATTTTAAGAGCAAAATTTTTTTTTTTCCAAAAATGCAGTTCATATTGCAATAAAGCATTCTAGAAATGATAGTATCAAGAACACAATAGATTGTTCAATTCAGTAGTACTATTATCTATCTCCAGTAACGTTACTTTATTCTTTTATTAAATGTCCTTTTCTAAATCTTCTCGAAATATAATGAAAATATAAAAGGGTGGATTTATTGTTATTACATTTTGTAATTTTGATTTATTTGTTTTTTTAAATAGACTATTGTTGTTTGTCCGATCATGATACAAAATACAAGCAGTTTTGATTCATTCCCTTCATTATTTCATTATTATCATTATCTATAATCTTTTAAAAGATTCCTGTTTGTTTCTCTACTGAATACTGGTTCTAAAGACTTCTAAAGACAACTGTTCCTTATCTCAATATCTTTTAAACACTGACAATGCATATTTTAAAACCTGTTCTGTCCTTTAAAAATCACTGATCTGAAATTCGATATGTACCTCCCTATAGCTAATTAATAACCATAATTTTAAAGATGTCTGTGTGACCTAGAGGCTCGCAATAAATAGATACCGAATTCAGGTGATAGTGGAAAATAACGCAAGAAAGTGCTTCTTAATTCAAGTTGTGAAAAAAAGAAATCATCATACATATTCGGTAGGTATGTTTCTGTTTTTTAAGTTGTTCAGCTAAAAATGTTATCAGTTTGTCATGGGTCTGTTAAGGTTTAGTCAAATGTCAAGATCTCTTTTTGTTTATAATAATTCAAAAACTGTGTGAGATATACAGTTAAAACTTTCACAGTTAATAAATGTATCATTACTAAAAAGATGGAAAGTATCACGTGAAATCAAATTTATATAAGAATTATACAATTTGAGAAATATTTAATATTTAAAAATGTATAGATAAAAAAATTGAACCTGCTTAATTCTGTACTTTTAGTGAAAAGCTATCATTACAGAAATAATATATGTTTATCAATGAAAGGCAAGTTGGACATAAATGGTCTCTGACATTGCAAAAACAGAAACATAATAATAAAGTAATAAAAAATAAATGTCTTTAATATATTTGGTCCTTCTTGTCTTCTTTCTGAGAATTTACTGAACGAAGAAAAGAATAATTTCAGTACTTATAAGCTATTCGCGTTATCAAAAATCAATTATAATCAGACCAGACAATAAAAGGATGGGAAATAGTCATCATCAGTTTCAACACCCATTATCTATAATACAGATAAAACACATCTATACTTATCAATCAATAAATTTTGCAAATAAACTCCTAAATGCTTGCGCTGGTTTCTACTCTATAAAATGCACTAGATATCAGATTATGTCCGTAAATTATTTTCAAATTTCATCCGCATAGAAATTATCCTAATTTTTTCGGAAAAGAGAGAAACGAGAGTGAGAGGGGTGGTTCCGGTTAAGGGATATAAGTACAGTCCCTGAGACGTGATACTACCCCACACGTTCGCTGCACGATCGATACACGAACGCTATACGGTTTGCATGAAATGCTGCACGGTTCACACGAAACGCTACACGGTTCACACGAAAAGCTACAGTATGCACGAAAGGCTGACAGATTTACACGAAAGGCTACATTAATCGCTTTCTACACGCTTTATATACGATGCTTTGTATAAGATTCTCAAACGTTTTGTCCTCGGATCGGATTTTTCCACTCGATACCGTTAATCTGGAAATTTTTACTGTAGATAAATTTTTAGCAAATTTGCGCGTGTATTGCATTCGCAAAAATATTTTTCTTAAAAATTAATCAACATGTAAAGAATTTTTTTCTGAGAACTCGTGTCTTTTTTAGACTCAGTGAATAGGCGTCGGTAAGCACTGGTCATTTTCAAAAGAAACCTGTGTACACTAGTCTACTATATAACTTCAAGTTATTTACCCGTGAGTGTAAATTGCCCTCATTATATGCAATATCGTTCAATGATTTGACAAGCACTGTGGCGGTATGCCCCTTTTTAATTATTTTAATCAATTAATTTGCCAATAAAGAGAAAACTGTCATTTTATCTAACCGTGTAACAACATGGGTGATAACTCAAACTCGGTGCATTTACTAGAAAGTTCCAAATGTAAACGCGGCGTGTAAATTTTAGGTGAGAAAAAAACCAAACGTTGAGTAAGTTATATTTTTTCTTCATTAGGATTATACTTTAGGTTAAAAGGCATACACAACCTCTAAAATGTTTGTTATAATAGATTTAGAAATTATTTTCAGTGCAAATCCTTTTGTATTTTTATCAAAATTGTTTGGGAGCCATTTTGCAATTTCTTGCCACGTTGCGAGTATATTGGTGGTATTCTAACTGGGCATATCATTTGAAAAATAACGTGATATGAAAATCTTCATTGATTTTTATTTTTATCACCAGTGACAATTCGCAAAAATTTGAAGCGTAAAAATTAATCAACAGTTTTTTTTACCCAAATTCGCAAAAATAAATCGACGTAAAAATTTCCAGATCTACGGTATTTCTCGGAAATAACCAAGCAAAAATTATTTTTAACAAATCATGCCAAAATCATATAGAAATCATATCAAACTCACAATTTCATGATTGAACTATGATTTAGACATGATGCATTAAACGGATCATACACAAAACATAGATGTCAAATAAGGTGGTATGATCTTGATGTGAATGATTCGTTTCTAGGCTATGAGCGTGCTAAGATTTTCTTGCGATTCTGGCATGTGCCACCAACAATTGTCTCTGTTGATAACCATGGTTTTTATATGATTTGTTAACTCTTTCAGTTTTGAATGTATGATCCTGATATGATTTTGTCATCTATGATAGGTTATATATAATAGAAATAACTTGACAGAATAAGCCGAAATAAGGAATCATATTTTTTTAAAACGCATATATTTTCCTGATTATTTTCTCTTTTTATCAATAATTGTATTGTATTGTAATATTTTAAACGATAAAAGTCTATTGAAATTACAAATAAATAAATATACTCTTCAAAAAAAAAAAAAAAAAAAAACGCATAGTAGGAACAATGCCCTGAAAATTTTTGATAGTTTTGTCATACCTTTTATTTTTGTATGAATAGGATGTATTAGAGTGAAATGAATGGTTTTTTAATGCAATTGTTAACTTTATAGTTATTCTACAAGTCTCACAGACAAAAAGACCCAATTTTGCAAAATTTTCCCCAAAATTTTGATCTCAATTTTCATTTGTTGAATTCCGATGCAATTCCTTCAGGTACAAAGGGGCTATCAAAAGCGGGGGTTCTCGATATTTTGAATCTGGTTTTATCTGAAAAATGACGCCTCCTAAAATTGCTGCATCTGAATGTTGCGTGGCACAAAAAGGAAAATGGGCGACTGGAAGCATGGGTACCGCAATCTACAGTTGCAAGAGGTTTTAATGTTACACACAAACCATATCTAACCTATAAAACGTAAACCATTAACATCGAACACCCAATGTTCGCAAAAAAATATGGTAGACTACGTGTGACATCAGCAACACAGCATCACTTCCGAGGATTACGCAAACTGCATGAATGTAATGCAAAGACGTCATCTAAAGCATTAGCTATCCCTGAATTGAACAGATCATCTAACAAGACCGTTTTCAGTTGACTACGAATTATTGCAAGAGGATTTTTCATGTCATTGTTCCGACCCCACAACACCCCAACACCCGACTTCAAAGATCTCAGATGAATAGAGTATGACCACAACATCACTGCTGAACATTTTGGTTAACCTAATAGTCTGAAAGCCTCATAAGTTTAAGAGTGCTAATGCTTTTTAATGAAGGTTAGATAGATAACTGATTTCCAGGACGTTAAAAAAGTTGGTGGTGGTAGTGTAATGATATGGAAAATGGTATTATAAGAAAGTAAGATTGATTTGGTTCAAATTCAATGGACTTTGATTGAAAAAGTTTCTCTTACCATGTTCTACCTACACATACCCATTCAATTATGCAACATCCTAGAGCCGTATTGCAATCTCACAATATACAGCCAAATATGGCTCATTTGACACATCTATTCTTGCAAAGAAACAACAACCTGTTCAGTCACAGTCATCTAAATCGCTAGATTTAATCCAAATTAAGCAGTATTGGCCAAAATGGATTGAAATGATTTGCCAAAGACAATCGCATCCCCAGACTCTGCAACAGCTGACTAAATTACTACATTTGGAGTGGGAGAGTATTCCTATACAGTTTTTATTAAAAACTTTTGCTTCCATTAGAT